GTGTCATCCTAAAGTATGTTTCATAAAACACTAGTTCATTGATCTGCTTCACAATAAAAATGATATAAAGTAAATAAACTAAAATAATATATTTTGCACTGGGCCAGATCCTAACCATTTAAAATCGTGAACATTATTACCATGTTTTAGAGCTCACATACACTAGCAGTTTATAAAAAATACTGAGTGAAGACAAAAATCTAATTTTCAAAACTGGTGTTTCTAAGAACTATTTTATTAACTCCCTTTGTAATTATGTATTAAAATGCCTCAGAACTAATGTTCTAAGGAACTCATTTACGGAAATATCACAGTTCATTCATTTTCAGATGCACATTTTTTTCACTTGTTACCACCTCTAAATTTGAGATGCTTTCTTAAATTTGATGATGTCTTAGGTTCAATGAAAATATGACATTGCCCTAGCCACTTTAAAGGCAAACATGTGTGCTGTTTTAGTTATGATTAGGCTCAGCTGAGAGTGACAAGAATTCAAAATGACAATTCCTTAAATAAGATAGGAACCAATTGCTCACCAGTAAATCTAGAAGTGGGTAGCCCTGAGCTGGCATTGTACTCTCTGGTGTTGGATACCCACACTTCTTTCTTCCTGTTGCTCCATCACCCAGCACCTTTATCTCCAAGGTCATATAATGGTTCAAGGGGACTGCTGTATGTCAATCTGTAATGCCTACTGAACAAACATGCCAGTAGTGTTTTTGCCAGCAGAAAAATACAAAAGATCAAGACAAAGGATTAAAAGTCAAGGGCCAGCTATCTCTTAAGGAAAGATCTCAGAAGCTGCCAAATGATACTTCTGTCTACCTTCCGTTAGGGTAGAGCTCAGTGATAGCAGCCTGGGTAGGGAGGTTGATGGGGGCGTGTGGGGTGGGGCTGGGAAACATGGTTACTTTTCTGAACCTGAATGTGCTAGATAAAAGTTCTATTCCTACGAAGAAAAGGCAGAACTGGGGATGAGCTAACACTACCTGCCGTAGGGCAGTCACCGTACATGTTGATCTTTACCGGAAAAAGATCGTTCAAAAATTAATCTATTACAAAAAACTAGAGACGTATTAAAGGATACCTCTTTTAAAGGCAAGACATAAAGACAAATATTGTTGAAGATGAGAAATTCATTTAGCCATTAGCAACTAGAAAATTAGCCCTTTCATCCCCGGTATCAAATAGTTCTGAAATCTCTTGGTATTCATGGTCCCTGAGCTTAGATTGTAAAGGCCATACCAGAATCACATTCTCTGTTGCTTCATTTGCTTCTCAGGTCACCATGAGCATCCAAGTTTAAGTGCGTAGGGGAAATACAACTAAAGATAGAGGGGCTGATTGATACAGGGGATATTATACAGACAGAGACTCAATTGTAAGAATGTCTAGAATTTATTGTGAGGTTCCTGAGAAAATTGATCAGTTTGTCTCCAGCTACTCTGTGATTGCATTTCTACCATGCTTTTAGAGATTTTAATTTAATTAAATGCAAAAGTTATACAGGTCTCCAGTGTGTGTCATATTTAATCCTCATTTTTTCCCACAGTACCTTTAATTTCTAATTTTTAAATGGAAATACTGAAACAGGAGACTATTCACATTGAACCTCAAATTTGGCTAATATTGATTTGAAAATATAATTAGATCCTGATTAAAACATTTTAAAACATTACAATGAAAAGAATTAAGCATGTCTATATGAAATTCATCTCTTAAAAATGAATTTCTATCTACTTAAGCCAGTGCCATTTCGGAATTTCTGTCACTATCAGCTGATCTTCTTGATTCTTTTGCTTTATTAACCAAAAAATATTGATTAAAAACAAATGTGTCAGTTTTTAAGGTCACATTTCTATTACCAGTTTCTAACAGCTGTTATTCTGTGATGCTTACATTTATTTATAAACTCTAAAACACTTAACAGAGGAAAACAGTATTTTTGAAATAATGAGATAGAAAATTTTCTGTGTTTTTATAATATCAGATTCGCTGATAACATGAGGTAAATAAAAAAAAAATATGTATCTGCTGGGCCTCAAATCCTAGGAGCTTATTTTTAGGAAAAGCAGTAATAAATGTAAAAATCTTGAAAATCCAACAGATGAACTTCATAAATTGATCTGGATTAGTGGATTGGTAAATATGTTTTGAATAAAAATGTCGTTTTGTTTGCTGTTTCTCTATTGCCTTGTCTTAATGAGAAGGATTAGCCATTTTTTTTAATTTTTAAAGAAAAAATAATAAAAGCTACAAGTGCATGCCAGCATTATAATTTAACTTAATGTGACTATGGAGAAAAACATACTTTTACCTGATAGATACGTATTTTATTATTATTATTAAATATGTATTGACTATTTCCCATATGCGAAGCACTCTGGTAGGCTTTCAAATGTGGAGGTCAAATTCTAAATAACCAACCCTGCTGAATTAATTGTATTTAAAGTAATAGTTATATGTTCATTGTATCAATAGAGCAGAAGGAACATGTCCTAGCTTTGCCATTAAATTGAAATTTTAAAGTGATAAAATAACAACTGGTACTCCATCTATTTCTCTGAAAACACGAGGCAACCTAGTATTATAAATGCTTAAAGGCACACTGATAAATGAATAATATAAAATTGGAAGGTATGAGTTTTAAGATATGTATATTTCTGTCCCAGCTAGAAAGGTACCTTTCCAAAGTGCGTCTATATCTCTCAAATTATCTACCCAGAGCAATAAATATGTTTTGCCTCAACTCTAAGATTCTGCAATGCAGTTCATCTAATGGCATCAAAACTTCCATATCACTTGGTTTTCTATAATACTATCTTTCAAGTTATCATGCAACCACGTCACAATGATTTGCTTCATGTTTTTGGCATTTTCTTACATCATCTAAATAGTAGTAATGGAACTCAGGATATAGTAATTTTTTGATCAGGTGGTAATAGTTCCCTAAATCAAAACTGAACTCCCCTCTTAAAATACAAATTGATGGCCGGGCGCAGTGGCTCACGCCTGTAATCCCAGCACTTTGGGAGGCCAAGGCGGGTGGATCACGAGGTCAAGAGATCGAGACCATTCTGGTCAACATGGTGAAACCCCGTCTCTACTGAAAATATAAAAAAAAAAAATTAGCTGGGCATGGTGGCGTGTGCCTGTAATCCCAGCTACTCCGGTGGCTGAGGCAGGAGAATTGCCTGAACCCAGGAGGCGGAGGTTGCAGTGAGCCTAGATCGCGCCATTGCACTCCAGTCTTGGTAATAAGAGCGAAACTCCGTCTCAAAAAATAAAATAAAATAAAATAAAATACAAATTGATAAATTATTTTGGATGAAACTCTTTTCAAGCAGACGTGTAAATTCTAAATGTTCGTTGTTTTGGTCTTGGAAACTATTATATACTTATACTAGAAGTACTTTTTTTTGCAAGATACCAAGCAGATCAATAATATGACTGGTTCAAGGCACAATCATAAAAGTTTTAAGTTGGTAAAATTTTATCTTTTACAGACATTTTACTTCTGCAAATTATCCATTTACTTTGATAAAGTAGGGAAACAATAGAAATGAAAGTTAAGAATTTTGAAACTTGGGTGTAGTCCTAGTCCAGTCTCATTTAGCTGAGGGACTTAACATGTCTTTTAACTGTTAAAAGTTAGTTTTCTCATTCATTAATAGAGCTAATAATATTTGTCCCTGATTATATTACATAGGAATATTAAGAACATGAAATAATCAGTATGAAAACATTAAATCACTTTCAAGACTTTAAAGAACTCTCAGAAATGATTGGTGTGTGTGTGTATGTGGGTGAGAACATGTATACGCAACTGATAAAAAATTAATAAATTGTTTATAAGCCTGATTATTTTTGAAAGTAAAAGTCATCTCTTTAGAAAAGTTTGGGAAATAACAGGTTATTGTGTTCTAGATTTTCTTTGAATGAAATGACCAGAACAAGTTTCATGCAATTTAATTGCCTTCTTGGAAAGATGGTGGCCAAAACTGACTTTGTCAGGGCTTTAACCTGGGCCCTTAAGACAGCATGGTTTTGCACAGTTGCTCTTAGACACTTTCTGAAGTCCTTTTTTTTTTTTTTTTCCTGAGATGAAGTCTCACACTCTTACCCTGACCGGAAAGCAGTGGGGCAATCTTGGCTCACTGCAGCCTTCGCCTCCCAGGTTCAAGCGATTCTCTTGCCTTCTTGCGTCAGTCTTTCAGGTAGCTGGGGTTACACGTGCCCACCACCACACCTTGCTAATTTTTTGTTTGTTTGTTTGGATTTTTAGTAGAGATGAGTTTTCACCATGTTGGTGAGGCTGGTCTTGAACTCTTGACCTTGTGATCCACCCACCTCGGCCTCCCAAAGTCCTGGGATTACAGGTGTGAGCCACCATGCCTGGGCCTGAAGTCCTTTTTAGTATTCAAGAATTTTATAAATATTATTCCAGTGTTGATATCTGTGCTGCTGAAGTAAGCACAGATTTTATAAATATCCACCAATTCATCCCAGTTTTATTTCCTAATAGCTGGTGCAAAATTGATGTGGTCCTTGGGGCTCTATACACATATAATACATAATTGTCAGAAATGCACCCTTTCAAAATTAATTTCATCTCAGAATCACATACACTCTTTAAAATAGGAGAGAAAAGTAAACATTCTTTATGAGGACAGATTTGAAAAATACTATGTAGTCTTCCTACGGATGAGCAAAACTCTGATTCAAGGTGACAGAAACATTGGCTGATAGTATTGCACTGTGCAGTAACCCAGAAAAACCATTCTATTTATTGTTCTCATGACTTTGTATTAGATTATGAGTCCCCACATTGAATTGTCATTTTTAACCATAAAGTGAAATAGAAATCCCACATAGCTAGAGTTCATCTGGAAACTTGGATGTATTTTAAAAATAATTGTAACTTTATTAAAAGGCATGACATTTTCCTATTGAGATGTATTTGAGAAAATCTCATACATGTACCTCTTCTTTTTCTTTAGGCTTCTTTACCTGCAACAACTGATCTTCCAGAATTTTTTGTTGCTTCTTATAAATGGCCTGGATGGACTCATGGCCCATTGGATCAAAAAAATTGTGCTGCATCCTGGGCATTTTCCACTGCAAGTAATAAAGTCATTTTAATTCCTTCCTTATAAACTACCCCTTTTGGCTCTAGAGACTGAGAGAATAATTAAACAATTAGAATATTTAAATATTAGCATATGATCACATAAAATCTCATTGTGACTGAAGAAAGTAACCTAAGATTATATAAAAAATCCATTTTCCATCTAAAAGTTGTATTTTGGTTTTAGAGTGCAATTTTAAATAGAGTGAATCAAAAGAGTGACAAAGTAAAGTTGCTAAAATGCATTTGTCTATTCAGAGTTAAGGCCAGATAATAAAAAGAGGATTAAGGTTCTTCTTCATTCATATATTATTTATGATTCTAACATACATATACCCACATAAACCTCATTTTCTTTTTTCTTTATATAGTTTGCAAAACTGTAATTAATCTAATTTCGTATAAAGTAAGACTTTAAAACTAAATAATAATGGATCAAATGGATTTTATTTCATTTTAAATAAATATAAGCAAATATATAGGTTCTTACTCAAAAGTAATATAACTGATCTTCTAATCAGATTAGTTTCCAAATTAAGTCTGCTGTTACTCAAAAAGTATAAACAATGACTCTTTTATAGTTACTTTTATATAAGTTCACAAGTCCGGTAAATTAGTTACAGGCTAACCCTCAAATTTGGTCTCCAAAATTATCCTCAAAGGAGTGCTGAATATATTTCAGCAATTAAGTGAAAGCTAACATGATGATGATTGGCCGTCATTAAATTATTTTCATAAAACTAAGCTCTAGGTCTTGCAGGTAACTTTTAACAGTGCAAAAACAGTTTAAAGTCATGGAAGTATTGTGAATAAGCACACAGGCTCTTCGAGAAGAAGCCAGCTCTGAAAGGTAGCATATGCTGGGACAGAGAAATGCTGATATCTTTGTCTAAATATCATTGCTCCATGGTATCAATCAGACAATTCCAGAAATACCTTTGTTAGTGCCATAATGGTAGCCAAGCTCACCCCAAGTGGCTACATTTGTCAATTCACTGCTGCCCACACCCCCTCTCTGGCTGTCTTATGCTGTCCTTGATGTGTTAGGGACACACATGGAGACCTTACTAAGCCAAAATTTGTCTTTTGATAGTTAAGGCAAGATAATAAAAAGAAGATTAAGTTTGTTTCAGATGGGTGGAGAGAGATTTAATGTAATAAACCATCTGCCATTTTTTGTTCATGTGGTTAATGTGTTACACCTAGCAGGTGATCAATAAGAATTTTGTCTAAAATTTACATTATGCCAATATTTCTGAAGATTTCTAAAGAAAAATGTTAGTGAAATACTGAAAGCAACTTGCTAGGCTGGAGAATTTATTTTGGTGTCTCAGGTCACAACCCCACAGATAGCCTCGGCACTGTGCCAAGTCAGGACTGTTCCCCTTCCTAATTCATGGAACATCAGAGAGAAGTTTCCTTCTATGATTCCAGAGGACATAGTTTTGTATCCTGTGTATTCAGTATGATAAATTAGGGCCTTTTTTTTCTTAAAGTAAATTATAAAGCTCTAAAAAATTATGTTAGAAAGTATTAGTTACAAAAGAGGATTATCTCTCAGAGAAACTAAAAGCTATAAAATGGAATAAATAAGACTCTTGACAATGTGCACGTATATTTTAAAAAGTTATTAATGAAATCAAATTCAAGCTGTTTGTCAGAAGCTGAAGAGATAAAGGTGTTTGTTGTAGTGGGAGTAATACGTGTTACATACATTTGAAGACAATAAAATGCGCAGGGGAAAGAATGGAGCATGTCTCAGAGATAATGTCCAGTGAAAGTTTTTAAGAAGAGGGTGGGAAACAATTGGTTGAAATGAGTCATTCTTAAATCTTCTGACCTTTTCTAAATATTTCAAGTGAATTTTGACTAAACCACCACTGAAATTCAGAAATGTCGGTATAAGAGCAACTTATTGCATAACATTAGGATTTAAAACACTTATCCTTTAGATGAAATCTACTGATTCATGAGGCTGGGAGAGATTTTAAAGGTCACTCTTTTCAAGCCTGTAGTATTATAAAGGAGGCCCAAGTAAGTAAAGTGGCTTACCTGAAGCCAAAAGATGAGAAATATCAGAGATATCCCTGGAAACCAGGCTTCCAACTTTTGGGCTACTATTTTCTCTACACTATAAAAAGTATTTTCTAAATGAAAACACAGTGACACCAACATTTTTAAAAATTTTAATTTTATTCTAAATCTTTGTGCTGAATGTCAAAGCATCACAAAATTTCTCCTTTCTTTGATGAAATAGGGAATTATTTTCTTGACACTATCAGAAGTTGTATAATGCCATTTGCTCCTATGAAATATATCCTAGTACAATAGTAGACAGAAATCGACTAGGGAGTTGGAGGTTAAAAATTGAACACATATTGAACATCTAAAGAATGCTAGCAATTGCCCTACAGCATTGTAATATGCTGTAGTTACATTAAAACCATGTGTGTACAAATATACATATGTAAATGAATTAAATGAATTATTTTAGAAAATTTTAAATTAGCACCTTGAGGGATTTCAGTACACTGACAATTTTAATGAGAGAAGTACTGTAACTTTCACTAAGAAAAGTGAATGAATGGAAGAAAGGTTATTATTTTGTTGCCTTTAATTAAAAGTGAGTAGGAAACTAAGCACCAAGAACAAGATATTCAACAAAAATAAAGTCGGTACTGAAGTAGTACCCACTCCAATTTTTTCGTGATCTCATCACTCACATTAGTTTATTTTGGTCCCATGATCAAAATGATGACATGTGTAGGATTTTGCTATTGGTTGATTAGTTTCCCTGGTCTATTATTCTACGAAGGAAGAAGTGTCTCTCTTGTTTCTTGTTCATCATTGTAATTTCCAGTGCTACGATGCCTGTCAGCTAGTAGGTGTTTAATAAACATGTCGAGGAAAGGAATGAACCAATAACAATTGCAATTCTAGGGAATCATTTAAACAAAAGAAGTTTTTTTTAAAAAAAGTGTGTGTGTGTGTGTGTGTGTGTGTGTGTGTGTATAAAACTAATGATATGACTCATAACTATATTACTAGTTGTATATAGCATTACATATAATCAGTTACATATATAGCTATTTGATAGTATATATATAATTACATATATAGCTGTATGTGATAAATCATATTATATGTAACTAATATTAGTTAATAATAGTTACAACCATTAGTAATTGTAACTAAATAAATATATTCAGCTTGTTTTATATATAGATATAAATAAGCTGAATTCCATGTCTACTGAAACAAGATTAAGATAATAATTTTCATTTATGTTATGAGCACAAAAGTGTACAATGTAGCTTTTAGATATTGTAGAAAATAAATTCATATTAGTCTTGATTAGCTTAAGTATGGTCTTCTGGGTAGCTAAATTAGACACCAGTTTAAAAACAAAGGATTCAATTTTATTCTAATATATCAGATAACTGTGGATGAATTTCCAGTTAATATTTCTATGGTTAGTTTTCTTGATTACCGCAGTTCCAGTTTAGTTACACTCATTTAGAAAACATATATTGCCCATGAATACATGCAAGATACTGTTCTCGGTGCAGGAAATAGAAATATAAGGAAGTTACGGCTCTTGCCCTCCAAGAGTTTCCCTTGACAGATTCCTTGATGAGGAGTTCAGAAGTATATAGAACATCAAAGGAACAAGAAACCAGAAAAACCTTTGAAGTCAATAGGACAATGGAGTAATAGCAAAATAGGACAAAAATTATGACTGAAAGTATGACACAGTTCAACTGGTTGGAATCCATAAATATATTAATGCTATTTGGCTTTAATTATTAATTATACACAGTTTTAAAGACTAGCTTAGGGTTCAAACAAAAAGGATTATGTATGTTATTAGGAATGCCATGTACTATTTGAATGTTAATTGCTACTCTGTTTGGAACAGGTGTGGCTGCTGACAGAATAGCAATTCAGTCTAAGGGAAGATACACAGCCAATCTATCCCCTCAGAATTTGATCTCTTGCTGTGCCAAGAACCGTCATGGATGCAACAGTGGAAGCATCGATAGGGCTTGGTGGTACCTGAGAAAACGTGGGTAAATAGCTGCCTAACATGTGTTTCTAGGATTTTTATGAGTGGTACATTGTGTTAGAACAAGGGAAAGAACCTCGGTATTTTAACAAAAAAAAATTTAAATAAACACACACACACACACACACACACACACACTACATCTATATGAATATAAATATGCTATTTAAATATACACTGTATTTGTTGTCTCTTGAAATTAGAAGCTATTAGAGACACTTCTTAAGAATGTATGCATTTCTAGCTAAATTAATATGAATTTTACTTTTGAAGATGCAAGTAAACATTTCTTGTTTCTCTGATCCAAGTGAGTCCCCACAGTCAGAATAAAGTAACTGGGGGTGCAGATCTCTCTGTCATGCTTTTCAGTTACCCAGGTTGATGAATAGATAATGCCAGGTAAAACTAGGCTGAACATAAGAAGAATAATGTAAAGAAATAATTTACAGTTCTTTTAATTCATCAGTATGGTTCATTAATCGTCTCCAAACCATTTGATGAAAAAAATGGGAGGTTACATTTCTGTAGTCTCATGTAGCCTGATACCCATATAACATCCTTGTGTCTGCTCTAAGAGCTGATCCACTAAAAAGCTGAATTATTTAGCTATGGAAGTTGCTGCTGATAAGGAGTGGTGTATATATGTACTGCTCACTTGCTCTTCATCATTCACTCAGTGCTCTGGGTCTGCTACAGGACCAGTTAGATGCTATAGAAGATAGTGGATATCATGTTTTGTTGGGTTGCAATAATTTGCTTTAAATCTTTTCATGTTTTGCCTAAAATGTGATGCTTTGAATGAACAACTTAGGCTGATACTTTCTGGTGTACTAGTGCTTGGTTGGTTTCTGTTTTGTATTATGACAAAAAATAAAAGCCCTTTAAGAGCTTAAAAATGTAAATTATCATTGAGACCCAACTAAATCTCATTGTATTGGACTGCTTGGGGTGCTGTAACAAAATTCCGTAGACTGAGTGACTTAAACAGCAAACACTGATGTTTTGGAGGCTGCAAAATCCAGGACCAGGTTGATGGCTGATTAGGTTTTTGGTAAGGGCCCTCTTTCTGGCTTTCAGATGGACACCTTCTCGCAGTGTCCTCACATGATGAAAGAGAGCTCTGGTTTCTTCCTTTTCTTATAAAGGCACTAATGGCATCTTATGATGGCCCTACCCTCAAAACATCCTTTAAAGTGAATTATCTCTCAAAAGCCTACCACCAAATATCATTACATTGGGTATAAGTGCTTCAACATACAATTTTTTTCTTTCTTTTCTTTTCTTTTTTTTAAAATTATACTTTAAGTTCTGAAGTACAGGTGCAGATTGTGCAGGATTGTTACATAGGTATACACATGCCATGGTGGTTTGCTGCCTCCATCCCCGCGTCATCTGCATTAGGTATTTCTACTAGTTTTATCCTTCCCCCATCCCTCCTCCCCCTGCTATCTCTCCCGTCGCTCTCCCATCCCCCAACAGGCCCTCATATGTGATGTTCCCCTCCCTGTGTCCATGTGTTCTTTTTATTCAACACCCACTTATGAGTGAGAACATGCAGTATTTGGTTTTCTGTTTTTGAGTCAGTTTGTTGAGAATGATGGTTTCCAGCTTCATCCATGTCCCTGCAAAGGACATGAACTCATCCTTTTTTAAGGCTGCATAGTATTCCATGCTGTATATGTGCCACATTTTCTTTATCCAGTCTATCGTTGATGGGCATGTGGGATGGTTCCAGGTCTTTCCTATTGTAAACAGTGCCCCAGTAAACATACATGTGCGTATGTCTTCATAATAGAACGATTTATGAGTATATACCCAGAAATAGAATTGCTGGGTCAAATGGTATTTCTATTTCTAGGTCCTTGAGGAATTGCCATACTGTCTTGCACAATGGTTGAACTAATTTATGCTTCCACCAACAGTGTAAAAGCATTCCTGTGTCTCCACATCCTCTCCAGCATCTGTTGATGCATGGAATGGCATCTCAAAGTGGTTTTGATTTGCATTTCTCCAATGACCAGTGGTAATGAGCTTTTTTTCATGTTTGTTGGCTGCCTAAATGTCTTCTTTTAACAAGTGCCTTTCATATCCTTTGCCCACTTTTTGATGGAGTTGTTTATTTTTTTCTTGTAACTTTGTTTAATTTCTTTGTAGATTCTGGATATTAGACCTTTGTCAGATGGGTAGATTACAAAAATTTTTCCCATTCTGTTGGTTGCTGGTTTACTCTAATGGTAGGTTCTGTTGCTGTGCAGAAGCTCATAAGTTTAATTACATCCCATTTGTCTATTTTGGCTTTTATTGACATTGCTTTTGATGTTTTAGTCATGAAGTCTTTACCTATGCCTATGTCTTAAATGGTATTGCCTAGATTTTCTTCTAGGGTTTTTATGATGTTAGGTCTTATATTTAAATCTTTAATCCATCTGGAGTTAATTTTTGTATAAGGTGTAAGGAAAGGGTCCAGCTTCAACTTTCTGCACATGACTAGCCAGTTTTCTCAACACCATTTATTAAACAGGGAATCCTTTCCCCATTGCTTGTTTTTGTCAGGTTTGTCAAAGATCACATGGTTGTAGAATGCAGCCTTACTTCCGAGGCCTCTGTTCTGTTCCATTGGTCTATATATCTGTTTTGGTGCCATTATCATGCTGTTTTGATTACTGTAGCCTTATAGTATAGTTCGAAGTCAGGTAACGTGATGCCTCTGGCTTTGTTTTGTTTTTGCTTAGGATTGTCTTGGCTATGTGGCCTCTTTTTCAGTTCCATATGAAGTTTAAAGTGGTTTTTTCCAGTTCTGTGAGAAAGGTCAATGGTAGCTTGATGGGGATAGCATTGAATCTATAAATTACTTTAGGCAGTATGGCCATTTTCATGGTGCTTTTTAAATTTACACAGTTCAGTCCACAGCACTCATCATTTAATACAAATGTAATGCATTTAATGCAATATATTTTAGGTTGTTTGAGTGTTTTCAATGGTTTTGCTTTTGTCATATTCTTTCCTCAGCTACTCATACTGTGTTGGACACTATTACATTTTCAAGAGCTAATCCTAGTGAATACTTCTATGGCCATTTCAGCACAGAATATTGACAATATCATTTCTATGATTTTATTTTCCTTCCATTTACCTTTTTATTCAATATTATTAAGTTGGAATCGGTGCTAAATAATTTGTACTTTGCTATGTTTAGTTTCGAAATCAGAAGTGAAAATCATTTTCTCTGTCTTTTAGATCATGCACACATCTGATAGTTTTCTACTTTATTAACTTTAAATATTATATTAATGTTATGCTGTTGCTCCCAAAGTATGAAGAACCACCGATATATAATAGTTTGTATTATGTGAGCATATCTATACCTTAATAAAAATATAAAAACATGAAAATAAAACAAAATAAAAACTTTAATGCTACAGCTTAAATAATTTTAATATCCCATCTAGGAATAGTCAGATTCATTTTCTTATTTATATTAAATTTAGCTCTTCCAAATCATAATTACATATACGGGTTGAGTGCTACTTCTCCTATTAGTATTACCACAGACTTAATATTGACAGCCATTTTTTATCTTCAGAAAATTCTATACTACAGATGCAATTATTTATTAAAAATTGATTGAAGCAAGATTTTAAAATTATAATGAAGAAATAGGGTAGGGAAGAGTGTAATGTCATTGAGCTTCTGTCACTGTTTTAGTCATTATTAGTTACTATAATCAGTCACTATTTTGAAAATTATGCATGTAAGTAATCAGAATAATTTATGAATGTTTAATTCAGTAAAATTATATATAAACACGATATTATGGCATTTTCCCAAATATTACCTTTGTTTCTTTTTTGCTTTTTCCTCATAGGCTGGTATCCCATGCATGCTATCCACTTTTCAAGGACCAAAATGCTACCAACAGTGGATGTGCCATGGCAAGCAGGTCTGATGGACGAGGAAAACGGCATGCCACAAAGCCGTGTCCCAACAACATAGAAAAATCGAACAGGATCTACCAATGTTCTCCTCCATACAGAGTCTCTTCCAGTGTAAGTCTAAATGCTAAGAATCAAGAATAGTTGACTTTCTCAAACATATGTAGCTCTGCTGTAACTACAACAATGTAAAACTATTATATTCTAAAATAAATATATTGTTTTCATGTATCATTTTTGATATTTTTAAGTACTTTCAGTTTTGGTATAATGTCTTATCTTTGTAATATTAGCAGTGTAAAAATTGACTTCGATTAAAAAAATGTCCAAGGAAATAGGGTTTTAAATTATGTTTCATAATATGTATATATAAATATATTTGAACTTGACAAGTAAAACTTAGTTAAACACTTTTCATTGACTTTTTTGGTGGAGTTAGCTCATTTTTTCAATCCTTTGCCTCACTCAACAAAATAATTTAAGAGGACCTGGGTCTAATAGGAAAAATACTCCTTTGGATTCTAGGTTGTCTGTTAAAAGCCTCGGCAAATTTACTTCATCATATCAGTGTTACCCAAGCCTTCTCATTTTTGGAATTTGCGAACCTCCAGTGCCTCCCAGTTGTCTCCAGAATACAATTCAGTATTTAACCATGGCATACTGGCCTTTCATGAGTTGGTTTTGACTTACTGCTTTTGTTCACTCATGTCCTGCCAGCATCTGCCACTCTACTGGGACGTAGTTTTCCTTATATATAGAACTAGTCTTTGTTGCCTAGGTACACAATACTGTGTTATACTTTTCCACTTACCTAGGTGATAATTCCTCGGATGCAAATGGTTATTAAACCTTTCCATCTAGAATGCCAAACAAATGTTAAGGCCCAGGTAAAAACTTAATCTTCTCTGTGAAGTTTTCCTTGATTTCTAGGCAGAATTAATTTCCTTTTTTTGTTTGCAACCGTAACACTGTGCTTGTCTCTACAATTGATCTCATTATATAATAATGGAATTACTAGTGTCATTCAACCAAAATGTAAATACCTTGAGTATAGGTGCAGGGTTAATACTTGTTCCTGTCATAGTTTCTGGCATGTACTTTGTGCTCGGTGTGCACAGAATGAATGAATGAGTGCCCTGCCGCCCTACAGAGGGCTGCATTATACATTTGGAGACATCATAGACATAATTGTAAAACTACTGTAACAACTAAACAATCATTTGGGTTAGCTCTTGTGAGAAAAAGACTAGAGGTACTATTAATCTCCACTAATTAAATATTGTTTCAACTTACCTTATTTATTGTTTTAACCATAAAAAGTTATTCTATTTTCTCTCCACTACAAAGTTACTGTTTAGTGATAAATGTCATTGAAATAAATGAATGCTTCCTGTCTTTAACAATTTCATTAATGCAGCATAATAACGAGTTTTTCAAAGTACAATTGAGAGTGAATTGCAAACACAACATTGTACACCAATCAATAGGTTTAGTATGCTCTGATAATGATATTGCTCATTCATATTTTTCCATCCAGGAAACTGAGATAATGAAAGAAATCATGCAAAATGGGCCAGTTCAAGGTAAGCCTGGATGAAATATAGTTTTCTCTTATTCATTCTTTTAATAAGCAACATTACATTGAGCTCACGTAATAGGCGTTTAATAAAAGAAAGAAAATGTTCACTTTAAGAGTATTCAAAAGTGTTCAACAGTTATAAAATTAGTGCAGTTTTGAGAGATATGCTTAACTATATCTTAATTAGCTGCCATTTTATTTTCAGAAGATAGAGTAATTTAAAAATTGAACGCTTAAATATTACATATTTGATGAATGTCTCCAAAGTCTTTCCAGAGTGATCATGGACCAACAGAAAGTCAAACATGAAATGCCAACTGATTAATTTGTAATTAAGCTTATTCAGTCATATTTAAGAATCATACATGCTGTTTTCTTGTCTTCAGTTTAAATGGATTACATAGTGGATTAAAACAAATTGAGGATTCATATTTTCCTTCTATTAGCTCAAAGTAAATAAAGTATACCAGTATAATTTTGCATTTTACAAAAGACTATTGAATTTGATCAATTTTGTAAATGTTTTATGTGGAGTAAACTAACAGTAAATAATAAAATAACACAGTTACTTATTGTACATTGCCTTTGATTTATATTATCTCTGATAATAATTTATTCTGCTTACCTGTTGAGTTTTATCTTGCACCAATGGCCTGGATAAGGGTAAATTCACAGGTTGTATTCCCTGTATAAACACTGGCTTGAAGTGCATGGAAAAATACATCCAATGAGGCAAAAATGAAAATTTAGGTTGTGAATACTGAAGGGCCTGGAATATATTCTACTTTATTAATAAAGTGGAATAAAAAATAGGCCATAAATGTAAAAACATTTGGTGCATACTTAAGGAACTAGTGCCAATTTTAATTTTTCTGAACACTGATTTAATATTGGTTACATATATAGAGACAGGAATCATAAATTTTATAATTGTGTGGGATGAATTTTTATTGATCATTTTTGCCACTTGGCATTTATTGGAAACCACAGCTTACATAAACATGTCTTGAATTTAATTTTTAAAAATTGTGGGACATTACATAAAACCTGAAACAAATGAAGAGAAGTTTTCTCTTCCCCTTTACAGCTTTGTAAGCTGTGTATTTGTTGGTCATTTTAAGAGCGAGGGGAAAAATCTTTAATTTCAAGGCATGCTCCACTAAGTGGGGCTTGTGTGACAAATGTAAAGGCTCACAGGCATTCGAACTCAAGGTTACACTAAAAAAATCCCGACTTTGGCATTTGCTATTTAAATAACTGGGCAATTTACTTAACCTTTCAGGATCTTCAAGTCATTGTGTTATTGTTTCAAGCATTTTTTTTGTTTTTCCCTCTCTCCCTCTTTTTTTAAATCAGTCAAACAATTTTGAATTGTAATTATTTCAAATCGAGAAGATGTAAGTATATTAGGTTTATTTTATGGCCATGTACTGAAATGCTCATAAATTTCAAAGAATGAATAAAAAATAAAGAATAACATTTAAAAGCAATAAAACAAAAATGCAAGTTATTCAACACCCAATTTACAAAGGTTTCTTGAGAACCTGTTTCCCACCCACCTAAGTCAGGAGCAAGAGATGAGCAACCACTAAGGCTCTCACTCATGTTAAAATTCTGTATCATGAGTTTGCTGTAATTTTCCAAAAGTAAAATTGCGTGATCATAATTTATATAGTCACATATTTGTGAATTTATCAAGTGGGTTTGGTATCAGAAACTGCAGAAAGAAGCCGTCTTTCAGGTAATTATAATGGCTTCTCATCCTTTTTCTTTAGTTGGCAGTGTTTTTCAGGAATAATGAATGTATTTTATTTATGATGCTTAGAGAAACGTTGAATCATAAGACCTAAGAGAGTGAATGGTTCTATAGAAAAGAAAAACCACTAGCAATATCTTTACATTTTTATAAATGGATAGAATGCTGGTTGACTCTTCTTGCTATCGATGTTACGGGATGGCCTGCTTGTTATTGTCTGGCCTTGCATACAGCATTTCCCCTGTCTCAGTACAAAAGAGTGTGAAAGGCAATAGAACCCTGAATGAATAACATTGTGTACGTTCTTCTAAAATCTGTAGGATTAAAAATAAGCATAGGGGATGGAAAGAGAACAAAAGCAGAGATCTGCATAGAGTATAGTTACATAAATTCTTAAAATCCTATAGGAATGTGTTTTAGAGTAGATAAGAAGTTCTAACCTTTTGTGACTATTTGCACAGCATCAGAAAAGGCATGGAACATTAAACAATGAAACAAAAAGTGGAACATTAGAAAAGTTATATTTAACTTTGGAGTGTAAGTTTTTGTTTTAAGGATCTGTCAAACACTAGTTACGTTAGTTCCTATTTTCTTTAAAATGCTTGTCTAATTAAGACAAGCATTTTACACAGTTATCAAGATATACATATCTAATCCCAACTAAAAATTTTTAAGTTCATATGTTCTAGAAGAGAAGTTTAAAGTTTTCACCCTGAATTGCCACAGCCCTTCCACAAAGCAGCACACAATAGAGAAATGAAGTAATCTAGGTGAGGGAAGGAAGGGCAGGTGTCTGTAAGTGTAAACTCTAGTTTTCCAAGTATACAGCATTGCTTATCTCTCCAGAGCTGGGAGGATGAAATCCTGTCAACGTTTTCTTTTGCCGGGAGTTTGCTTTTTTTTAATTCCAGCTCACCAAAGAAAGATTCATATTTACTTATGAGGATTAAGGACAATTGCTTTAAGCCCAGTTTGCTAGGCTCTGCTAGCTTAATTGGAGTTTTAAGAGGCTTGTGATAAAGCACAAGGTTAATGGAGAAATAGCAATCGCAGACCAAGTACAGTGTGCTTTTGCTGCAAGTGCTTAATTTTTGGTAGTAGAGTCTCTGCTGATTAGACTAGATGGTGTTTTAAAAGCATAATGCGTACTTAATAATTCTAAATAGTTGCAAGTTGTTTTTATAAGATAACAAAAGATATTTCAACTAATTAAATTAAGTAGGAAAGAAAATTAGGCTGAATTGCACAACCCCTTCTTAGATCCAACTCCTTGCAATTTACCCATTGATTGTTCTGTGAAATTTTCTGGTGGTTTTTTAACGATATTTTAATGTTGTGTTCTGTTGGATTTTATTTTAGCCATAATGAAAGTCCATGAGGATTTCTTCCATTATAAGACAGGAATATATAGACATGTTACCAGCACAAATAAAGAATCAGAAAAATTTCGAAAGCTTCAGACACATGCAGTCAAACTCACTGGGTAAGGCAATTAAAAAAATACTCCTGTAATGCTTTTGGAAAATGAAACTGAAAATAAGAATATGTAGTGTTCTAAAATGCTAGAATTCCTTTTGTAGGAGAGATTGTGATACAAACAAACGAAAAATGATCTAAACCTTGCTACTATTTAGTCATTATTTTAAAGTCCAGTGAAAGGCTAACTCTGCATTCTGGGGACAAAATGATCATTTTCTAGCGCTCACTTCTTGCCGCTATGTCCTTAAGAATCTGTCCTAAGGGCAAGGAAAATATATTATTGAAATAACTTCTACATATGGTATAACCAAAGAAAGAGAGCAAATCCAAGTTGTATTATGGTTTGGGGAAACGGTTTTGAATAGAAATGCAAATAGCAAAGATTAAGCAGGAAGAGAAGTAAGGTCACCTATGATTCAATGGAAGGTTACTTTATGTGAGAACTGTAGAAATTAGATTGATCAAATTTGTAAGTAAAATATGTTAATCTATGCAAGAGCAAGAAAGAAGTTCAGAATTTGGTGGTGGGATTACAGGAGTGAGTAATTTCAAAAATAGGCCCTACTTTGAAAGACAGTGTGGTTATGAGACCACTTTCCCAGCACCTTCTCAATTTGTTCTGACTGAAACATCTCATAATGTCTCACTTTAATTCAAATGAAATGCTATAAAATTTTCTTGTCCATCTAAAACCCTCACTCTTCTCATCTTGCATATTATGGTAAAAAACTTCATTCCTATTGAACATGTCCTTAATGACTTAATTTTATTGAGCCTACACAAAACAACCTCACCTACAATCAAATTATCTTCTCCTTACTGATCTTTGAAACACTTTTAAATCACTTCTAAGCTATGTAGGCAAACTATCCTGTGTGATGTTTCTTTAATCGTTGTCCCTCTTTTGTTTTAAATACTTGAATATTTCAATTAAAAAATTATCATTTTTTTTGAATCTAAGATAATACATATTTTATGACTTGTGTTGATTTCCGGAATGTGAAAATACATGTATTTTAGGATCAGAGACTATGTTTCAAATTAATGTAGGATACTAAATCTACAAGTTGGAAAAATGAAATGCATGTGTGTATGTGTGTATTTATAAATATTTTCACCATTCAGAGTTAATAACTTCTGTTGAAATTTCTGAGTAAACTGACACAAGAGCAGAAAATCAAACACCATATATTCTCACTCATAGGCGGATGTTGAACAATGAGAACACATGGACACAGGGAGGGGAGCACTACACACTGGGGTCCATTGGGGGGAAATGGGGGAGGGACGGGGGGGTGGGGAGGTGGGAAGAGATAGCATGGGGAGAAATGACAGATACAGGTGAGGGGACGGAAGGCAGCAAACCACACTGCCATGTGTGTACCTATGCAACAATCTTGCATGTTCTTCACATGTACCCCCAAACCTAAAATGCAATAAAAAAAGAAAAAAAGAAAAAAAGAAATAACTAAGATCAGAGCCGAACTGAAGAAGATAGAGACACAAAAAAACCTTCAAAAAATCAATAAATTTAGGAGCTGGTTTTTTGAAAAGATCAACAAAATAGAAAGACCGTTAGATTAATGAAAAAGAAAAGACAGAAGAATCAAATAGATGCAATAAAAAAACGATAAAGGGGATATCACCAACAATTCCACAGAAATACAAATTACCATCAGAGATTACTACAAACAATTCTATGTACATAAACCAGTAAGCCTGGAAGAAATGGATAAATTCCTGGACACTTGCTCCCTCCTAAGCCTAAACCAGGAAAAAGCTGAATCCCTGAACAGACCAAAAACAAGGGCTGAAGCTGAGGCAGCAATTAATAGGTTACTCACCAAAAAAAGTCCAGGTCCAGATGGTTCACAGCCGAATTCTACCAGACATACAAAGAGGAGCTGGTACCACTCCTTCTGAAACTATTCCAAACAATACAAAAAGAGGAAATCATTTCCAAGTCATTTTATGAGACCAACATTATTCTGATATCAAAACCCGGTAGAGGATCAACAAAAAAGAAAAGTTCAGGCCAATATCCATGATGAACATAGATGCAAAAATCTTCAATAAAATACTGACAAACCGATTGTAACAGCACATCTAAAAGCTTATCCATCACAATCAAGTAGGCTTCATCCTGTGCATGCAAGGCTGGTTCAACATACACAAGTCTGTAAACATAATCCACCATGTAAACAGAACCAAAGAAAAAAAACACATGATTATCTCAGTAGAGGCAGAGAAAGTCTTCAATAAAATTCAACAGCACTTTATGCTAAAACCTCTCAATAAACTAGGTATCTAGGGAACCTGTCTCAAAATAATAAAAGCTATTTACAACAAACCCACAGCCAATATCATACTGAATGGGCAAAAACTGGAAGCATTCCCTTTGAAATCTGGCACAGACAAGGATGCCCACTCTCACGACTCCTGTTCAATATAGTATTGGAAGTTCTAGCCAGAGAATCGAACAAGAAAAAGAAATAAAGAGTATTCAATTAGGAAAGGAGGAAATCAAATTGTCCCTATTTGCAGACAACATAATTTTGTATTTAGTAGACCCCATCATCTCAGCCCCAAATCCCCTTAAAATGATAAGCAACTTCAGCAAAGTCTCAGGATACAAAATCGATGTGCAGAAATCACAAGTTTTCCTATACACCAATAACAGATTAACAGAGAGCCAAATCAAGAGCTAACTTCCATTCACAATTGCTACAAAGAAAATAAAATACCTAGGAATACAACTAATAAAGGATGTAAAGGACCTCTTCAAGGAGAACTACAAACCACTGCTGAAGGGAATAAGAGAGGACACAAACAGATGGAAAAACATTCCATGCTGGTGGTTAGGAAGAATCAATATTGTGAAAATGGCTATACTGCCCAAAGTAACTTATGGATTCAACACTATCCCCATCAAGCTACCAATGACCCTCCTCATGGAACTGGAAAAAAACACCTTAAACTTCATATGGAACCAAAAGAGAGCCCGCATAGCCAAGGCAATCCTAAGCAAAGAGAACAAAGCCAGAGGCATCACGCTACCTGATTGCAAACTATACTACAAGGCTATAGTAATCTAAACAGCCTGATATTGGTACCAAAACAGCGATACAGACCAGTGGAACAGAACAGAGGCCTCAGAGGCAACGCCACGCATCTACAACCGTCTGATCTTTGACAAACCTGACAAAAACAAACAATGCAGAAAGGATTCCCTGTTTAATAAATGGTGTTGGGAAAACTGGCTAACCATGTGCAGAAAGCAGAAACTGAACCCCTTCCTGGCACCTTACCCTAAAATTAACTCCAGATGGATTAAAGACTTAAACATAAGACCTAACACCCTAAAAACCCTAGAAGAAAACCTAGGCAAAACCTTTCAGGACATAGACACAGGCAAGGAACTTCATGACTAACAAACCAAAAGCATTGGCAACAAAAGCAAAACATACACATGGGATCTAATTAAACTTCAGAGCTTCTGTACAGCAAAAGAAACAATCATTAGAGTGAACCTAGCAGCCAACAGAATGGGAAAAAACTTTTGCAATCTACCAATCTGACAAAGGGCTAATATCCAGAATCTACTAAGAACTAAAACAAAATTACAAGAAAAAAATAAACCCATCCAAAAGTGGGTGAAGGATATGAACAGACACTTCAAAGGAATACATATATGAATCCAACAAACATGAAAAAATGCTCATCATCACTGGTCATTAGAGAAATGCAATTCAAAACCACATTGAGATAACCATCTCACTCCAGTTAAAATGGCAATCATTAAAAATCTGGAGACAACAGATGCTGAAGAGGATGTGGAGAAAAAGGAACACTTTTATACTGTTGGTGGGAATGTGGAAGACAGTGTGGCAATTCCTCAAGGATCTAGAAATAGAAATTCCATTCGACCCAGCAATCCCATTACTGGGTATATACCCAGAGGATTATGAATTGTTCTGTTACAAAGACACATGCACATATATGTTCATTGTGGCACTGTTTACAATAGCAAAGACCTGGAAGCAACCCAAATGCCCATCGATGATAGACTAGACAAGGAAAATGCGGCACATATATACCATGGAATACTATGCAGCCATAAAAAAGGATGAGTTCATGACCTTTGTAGGGACATGGATGAATCTGGAAACCATAATTCTCTGCAAACTGACACAGGAATAGAAAATCAAACATTGCATGTTTTCACTCATAGGTGGGTATTGAACCATGAGAACACATGGATACAGGGAGGGGAGCATTACACACTGGGGTCTGTTGTGGGGGCTAGGGGAGGGACAGTGGGGAGTATGGAGATTGGGGAGGGATAACATGTGGAGAAATACCAGATATAGGTGACGGGGGTTGGAGGCAGCAAACCACATTGCCATGTACGTACCTATGCAAGAATCTGCATGGTCTGGACATGTACCCCAGAAGCTAAAATATAATTTAAAAAAATTAAATTAAATGCTAAAGTTAACATTTTCAATAAAAAATATACAAAAATTAGCTGAGCGTGGTGGTTCCAGATGCCTGTAATCCTGGCTACTGAGGAGGCGAAGGCACGAGAATTGCTTGAACTTTGGAGGCAGAGGTTGCAGTGAGCTTAGATCTACACACCTGTCTGGGTAACAGAGTAAGACTCTGTCCAAAAAAAAAAAAAAAAAAAAAAAAAATCCCAAATTATGTCACATTAATGCTCAAAGATTATTTTTATCACATTTTTTTTTAAAACCATTTTAGGTAAGTCTTATCTTTCTATTAGTGAAAAGTTAGACAAACAAAAATAGACAATACAGGATATAGCATTTAAAAATATTGCTATTGAGGCTAACTTTACTTGAATTAATAAAATTTAATGAAATTTAATGAAATGAGATAATTTTAATTCTTCAACAAAGGAGATGTTCTTGTCTAAATCTCTCTTCATTTAGTGTAGTATCTAGGCCTCTTAGCTCTTCAAGGACATGAAGAAGCAATTTCTCC